CAGTGTCATATACCCGCAACGTCTACCGAGCAACACCGACAGGACTCACCAACCGACTGACACACTCCGGGCCAGACCGCTCCGGCCGCTCCACGGTCCACACCACCAGCACACACCAGCAGCAGCAGCACCGCACACCAGCATGCACCAGCAACCGCACCGCCACGACCGCGCCAAAGGAGCCACACACACTTGCGCGCGCGCGCACACGTGTACGACAAACGACTCCGCACACCCCTCCTCTTCCCAATCCCCGCTTCGCGGGCCACTCCTCGGCCGCCCTCGGTCACCGCCGCCATCGCCGATGACCGTCCGGTATCTCCTTCCTCTCCCTGCCTCTACCGAACTTTGCCGCTGACGTCATTGCGCGAGAAGTTAGGCGCGCGTGCGCGTGCGCCACCCGCGCCGGCTACCACATGCGTGTACTTATTGCCTTTCGGAGCAAATTTCGAGGAGGAAATCGAGAAAATGTGACGCTTGTAATTTATAATTCACCATTATGTTATCACCGCGCAAGTTATGCACATATTTATTTTTCTTTCGTTTCTCTCGTTGCCGCGACGCGAAACAGGTTTTCAAATAATATATCGTAAAATAGAGACCCGTCCTTTTTCCACACTCCAGGGGGTCTATTCTTGAAAAGCATTTTCCTAGTTTTTCGTATATGTTTCTTTTCAAGAATAGACCCCCTGGAGTGTGGAAAAAGGACGGGTCTCTATTTTACGATATATTATTTGAAAACCTGTTTCGCGTCGCGGCAACGAGAGAAACGAAAGAAAAATAAATATGTGCATAACTTGCGCGGTGATAACATAATGGTGAATTATAAATTACAAGCGTCACATTTTCTCGATTTCCTCCTCGAAATTTGCTCCGAAAGGCAATAAGTACACGCATGTGGTCATCTTCTGTTTTTTTCTCTCTTCAATGTGAAAAGAGAAAGAAGAAAGATTAATTGTGCAAGAAGTTCAGTCCTGGGGTATGGAAAAAGAACAAGCTTTAGGAATTTTAGTTTCCATGCCTTCTTGGGGGAATTACGTTGGATACCCTGATGCTCATTAAGGGCGGATTTTCAGAAATTTCAGGGTTTCCATGTAGAAAAAAGCAGAATGGAGAAAAATCATAACAGGATGAGGTAATCAATTAAAATGTTGGAGATGTATAATATATAAAAAGTTACGAAGTTTCAATTAATTTTTTTTGGTATTAATTAATCTTTTTTCTGCAATTCTTTTTTTTTGCGTTTCTTTCTTCTTTTCTTTCTTCGATTTTTGCCTAATTGTGGAGTTGTTTTTTAATTATATTTGTATTAATAATAAATGTTTTGTTCATTTTCATTTTCAGTAAATAATATTACATTCGTTCACACAAACTTCATGGAATCAATAAAAGATGTTTATTAAAAGATTTGTGAATGCTGAAGGCATATTCCCTTTTTCTTAGGTCAGAGATCAAAATTTCTCCATAAACTATAATGATAAAAATTTTAACTTCTAACATTTTTCTAATGAAAAAGGAAAAAATCCATACAGAATCGATGTTTGGAATACTGGTTTCAAAATTCAAAAAAATTCGTTGCTAAGGGGAGTGGGACGATGAAAGTACAAAAAGATAGCGTCATAGCGCTAGAATCAGACCCGAACTTGTAACACGTGTTATTCTCGGGACAACGCACAGTTTACAGTGTAATTTTATTACAGACGAAAGACTAAAGAAAAACTGTCTTAAATCCAATCATTTTGATCAAAGAGGTACTCATTAATATTATCCTTATCGTTTTTTCTTTTTTATTTAATTACGCTGTGTACATTCCTGTTTTAAACTAAACATTACTTACCCAAGTAGAACACAGAAGTCATGAGGACATCATCATGATCTCATTCGTCACTTATAAGTCAATTTTTTGGTATCAAATAACATCATGATGACGTCCTGTGATACCATTATGACTTAATTATGATTCCGTGTTCTACCTGGGTAATCCACGGTATCCACATAGGCTACGTTTACACCGTGCATTTAGGTCGCGGCCTATACAATAGATGTCCTTGTTTATCCTGTAGGTTAAACAAAGACACCTATCGTATAGGTCGCGGACTAAGCGCACGGTGTAAACGTAGCTATATTCAAAGTTGAAAAAGTGTCCTCAAACGTGATTGCGTAATCTCTTCTATTATTCCATTTCAACCGATGTACTTTAACTTTAATCTGGTTTGATTTAATTCTTAAAATTTTCTTTTTAATTCTTAAAATTAAGAAAAGATAAAAAAAGCGAGATTAAAGTTTATCTATATTGGTTATTAGAAATTTCTAAAACTTCGAAACGTACATATTTCTTTATTCTTATTATCGATCAATTGCGTTACGAAGTATTCATATCGCTTTAGGGGATCGTAACCAACATAATTAAAATATAAAATGCTGATAAATTAATTCTAAGGGCCACTGTCACCAAGCTCAGTTAACTTAACTGGCCAGTTCATCGGAATTGATCAATTGCATTCCGATGGACTAACTGGCCAGTAGTGGAATTCTGTAACTCGTTATGCAATCGTTATGTGCTCATAACGACAGCCGCGCAGATATTTTATATGGTAAAAAAGCTGCGCAACTGTCGTTATGAACTCGTAACGACTGCATAACGAATTACAGAATTCCACTACAGTTAAGTTAACTGAGCTTGGTGACAGTGGCCCTAAGAATTTCAAAAAGATATAATGAACTAAAACCTGATAAGATAAATGAAAGCCTTGCTAGAACATTTGATCGTTCTCTTTCTCTTTATTTTTTAACACACATACTTTAAATTTTGAATTTTATTCCGACGTTAAATCTCCTGCCTTATTCTCCTAAAATTAATTATTTAATCAAAAATTCATTAGATAAATTTATTTTTTTTGCTACAGACATCGCAACCTCACTATTTAGATATTTGTTTATTCCTTTTTTTTCATTTCTTTATGCTCCTTTATAACTGACTTGTCAAAACGAATTCTTATCATGAATAATAAAGTTACTGTTATTATTTTTCAACACATGTTCGGTCAATTTCGTCAATAGATGATCACTCAAAATGTTCTTTTAAAAACACAGGCGATACAATAGAAACAGAACGAGATATTTAAAATGATTTTGATCAAGTTCTAATTTATTATTATTATGATCAATTTAATCATCAGAATTGTTTAGAACACAATTTCTAACTGTATAACGATAAAAAATTAATTATTCTGTTTATGTTAACAAAATATAAATTAAATTAAATTCACAAGTTAAATGCCAATTAAATTAATTGGAGTTTGGTCGAGGTAGCCTTTGAAACTTTTTCTTGAGATGCAGAAAATGCAACAGAAATCGGGATAAGCATATAATATTTATTAAGTTGAATCCGATGTTCCAAAGATATATTTTCGATATTAAAATCGGACCATCTTTTGTAAAATATATTAAAAATGGATTTAACAAAAGAAAGAGAACGATCAAGCATCGCGAGTCTTAGTTTATTATTATTATTACGGATGTATGTTCTTAAATATCATAACAACAATATTCTTTGAACTGTTGATTTCGGTGTTACAGTACCGATTCGATTTCGATAAATCATGAATCTGAAAGACACCCTTTCGTCACTATCTAAACTATCAGGTAAGAAATAAAATCGTTAAAGTACCTTTACATAATTCGCAAATCGCAAAACATAGTTCGCAAACGCAAACGCAGAATGAAAATTTGCATTTGTTTTTTTCATCTGTGTGTATCTTGCGTGCGGTGATCGCGATTATTCTGCGTCAGCATTTGCGAACTACGTTTTGCGATTTGCAAATTATGTAGAGGTATCCTTATGCCCGTGTCACACTACGCATTGAAGATTGAGGATTGCGAATTCTCTCGATCGCATTTGCTGAAATGATTTTTACGCGTCTCATTTAATCCGTTTTACTATTTGCCAGAAAAAATTTTTTGTTTTAGCATCTGTCGAGCAAAAAGACTCGGATTTGGATAGTGCTTTAATGACGCTATCTTTTGCGCATGTTTATTTTCAAGACACAGAAACATCGGATGATTCGAGTAATTCAGAATCGATCGAGAATTCTGAAAAAAATATTGAAATGAGCGACAATGCAATCAAACAAAACATAAACTGCACAAAAGATACCATAAGTATATTGAGATGAGGATAAAACTGTAAAATAATTTAGAATCTTTGTTGCGAACGTTGCAAATATTAAATTAAAAATAATATAATATATAATTAATTTTATTGTTGAGCAACAAGGTTCGAGCATAAATTTTTGTACTATAGTAAAAATTTGGATATGAAATTTTTTCAGAAGACGATTGTAAGACCTTGGCTGTAATAAAGAATGAAAAATCTGAAGATGATTCGTATGATAGCATAGATGTTGAAGATGAAATTGAAATCACCGTAAATCCTTTAATTTTATTATTTGATGAAAACAATAAAATAAAAGTTCTAACCCACTTTGATGAATCTTATGACGAGTATTTATTGAGCTATACTGATTACCTATGGGACTTAATTAAGGTACTAGTATAATTAATGCTTATCGTTTCCAACCTAACGGGTTTGAATCGGCATGGGTTCGAATTAATGATGTCACACCCTCTACTATTATTGACGTTATATATAGTAAAGCATTAAACGTCATTAATCCGATTCAAATTGATTAAAATCCGCTATATGTTCGAAAATGCTGTTTGTTCTATTTGCGAGCCAATGCTAAATATTATTTGGAATAATTGTTTAATATTTTCAATTTTATTGATAATTGTTAAATTATTAAAAATCTCGAGCAATACACGGAGAGAATTTTTTCTTAGAGTTTACCCTGAAAATATGATAGTCATGGGACAACAATGTATTTTCAAGAATTTTAATGTAAATCTTTCTCGTTCATTAATAAAACTACAACAAAGTATAAAATAAATTTGATTAATTTTACTAAAGTGCATGGTAAAAATCTTTAAAATATTGTATTGTACCACAACTACCATATTTTTGGTAAATTTTAAAACAAAATTCTCTCTGTGTATAATTTTCAATATATCAACGGATAATATCAAAGCATTTTAGGAGATTTCTGTATACAATACTTTTTTTTAAAGTTTCTTTGTATGTGATTCAATTGATTTCAGACAAACGAAAGCCTAGATATGATAAAGCGTGGACTTCATAAGTTATTAATCTATAGTCACAATAAGATTGTAGCAACTTATCTCATAAAACATCATGTATTACAAGGAATAATGGAGCAAGTGAAAAATAAACCAAAACTTATGGTATGATACATTTATCTTTATTGCATAATACTTTATAGTAACAATTATTTCTTGAGCAAGTTTTATATAATTACTTTAACAACGCTATTAAAATATATTTTTAGGAAATATGTTTTAGTATAATTCTCAAAATAAGCAAGATATGCAATATATGCAAGTCCGAGCAAACAATAATTAACTGGATAGGCAATTTCGACCAGTTTGCTATGTTAATTCTAAATCAATTAAAATCTACTAATAGTTTAGTATTAAACAGCCTTCTGAAAATTTTACAATTAACAGTGCATAATATCAAAATAAAAAATTATGAATCACATTGGTTATTCCACTTTAAGAATTATGGATCTTTTGGATACGATATAAATGCTATACTCAGGAGTCACTATCATGGTATACTAATTTATTCAATAAATTTTAAACAATAAGAATCTTATTGGACCGTACATTTGAAAACTCAACAAATGGGAAATAGGAAATAACAGTTATAATGGTTGAAGCTGAATCTTTTAATGCTTAAATAATTCTTCAGCTTTGTTATGGCCATTATTTCCTATTTCTTATTTGTTGAGTAATAAATTTTTATTTTTGTAATATATCATAAAAGAATAAAATTTGATCAACGAGTAATCTATTATTAAATTTTCGTTGTAGAAAAAGTAACGATGACAGCTATTGAATTGATTAGAGACATAACTAAGATAAAATTACCGAATCGACGCACTCTTCTGGAAGAACTATTTGTAATATCTGAATTAAGTTCTGCACTGATGATATCTTCCGCAAAAGTATTAGTAGCGAAGAGAAAACTTGATTCTCCAATAAATTTGGAGTTGTACCTCTACAATTGGCTAGCAATAATAGCGAATATAAAATCATATATGTGTATTACATTTGAAAGGAATGACGAAAGAGAAAAACGTTTATTTATGAAAATTCTAACTGTTATATTGCATCCATATCAGCAGAAAGGTTTTTCATTTGTAGGACGAGAAATAAAACTAGATCTTCATGTGATTTTCAAGTGTCTGCGCCTATTGTTTTACATTCATATGTACTTTCATGTTCCCATGGTAATAGATCGCATTTTGATGAAAATAACGTTGAAACTTCAAGAAGGTATAGAGTTCATCAGATAATTGATACAGTAACATGTTTCTAATTTTTAACAATATATATATAATATATTTATACATATATTTATGTATAATTGCAGATATAGACATAAAAGAAACGAGTTTCGAGGAAGATACAAAAAAGTTAATACACTACCTTTTAAACGAGCTGAAGTATCTCTGGACATCTCTCATACAATGTTTTAATGCTGAATATATCGTAGAATTAATGAAATTATTTGAACCCATAGATCATGAGTACTTCATAGATCTAGCCAGTTGTCATTCCCAAGTTAAAAAAAACTCAACAATAATTAATGCGTTGAAAAAAATCGACTAATAATTAGAAAATATAAGAGAAAAACCGTAATTAACCAACGTAGACATAAATGCGTAAAAATAATAGTTTATTTTTATGTCATGTACATCAATTGGTAAATAAACGTTTCAATCACTCTCTTGGTCCTTTTTTTCCTCACAAAACAAAAAACTCGAATTATAACATTATAGTCTAACGAACATTATAGTCTAACGAACAGGCGCGAAATAGGGATAATGTTATAAAAAGAATTTACCATTCTCGTTTTATCCTTCTTGATAATAATATTCCACAATTTTCTGACTCGATCAAAAATTAAATTTTAACATAATCTGATTTTATTATTTCTTTGGACTGATTGAGACTTAACTACATAATTGTCTGACTGATATATGTTAAATTTTAGCTTTAACCCGGTAAAAAATTTTTCATGCATGAATATATATAAATATGTATAAACATACATAAACATGTATAAATATTCATAAACATATATAATTATGTATGAGATATGTCCATACATATTTATACATCCTTTAGTTTGTAAAATTATTTTTTAGTATATTATTATTATTTAAAAATAATAATGAAACATCAAAAATAATTAAAAGGAAAATTTTCGCATTGTTTGTTTTAGAAAAAATCAAGTTTGGAGAAATATAACAAGTAATTTTACGAAAGAAAAAAAGATGTATGGACATATTTCATGTACAATTATATATGATTATGAATATTTATGCATGTTTATGTATGTTTATACATATTTATACATATTAATGTATACAAAATTTTTTATCGGGAATTGTAGTTTACGTTCAATCGGTCTTAATTATTATGAATCCAACATCGATATCACATTACATACACTTTTGATGACGATTTATGCACTATTAGCTTTGAAAATAAATTCTTTTTATAACATACATTATGTTTCGCGCTTGTGCGTTAGACCGGTTAGAATCTAAACCGTTAGACTATCTATAAAAAGACTATCTATAAATGCTATAATTCGGGTTTTTTTTATTTTGTACCGAGGAAGACATACTGATATGATATTTCTTTTCATGTGGCAAATATTTTGGTTGCGTCTGAAAGGTATATACTTCAACAAGAATCTTGAAATCACTGTGCAAATTATCAATTTTCAACATTAAGTAAAATGGATACATGAATCGCCTGATTTAGCTAGTCGCTGCTTGAGTAACGAAAACTTCGTTCTAAATGATACATTAAGCAAGCACAATGAAGATATACGTATTTATGCTCATATTTCGGAAATGTTCTTTAGCGGTAACGTAATAACATAAATACATAGTTAATAATTCCCGTTCAGTCGAAACGTTTACCAATTAATGTATATGACATAGGAATAAACTATTATTTTTGCGCACTTATATCTGCGTTGGTTCATTACGGCTTTTATTCTTTCAAATTTTTTCATCAAATTCTCAGCTTTATTTAGTTCATTTTATAGAAAATATAACAATCTGAATGTATAGCTTATTACATGATATGTCACATTTTATCAAAAATACACGCATATATTAAGTAATTTATAGTGCAGTACTATATTATATACGGCAATACTATATTTCTCACCTGTATATGTTCATATATATTTTTAAAAAAACATGTTTTCAACTTAATATCTATTATGTACATATGTGTAACGTACATGTATGCATGTTTAAAAAAAGCACAATAACATTTTTAATGTATATTATATTTTTTTAAATACTCGTTTTTTCAATTAATGAATTAATACATTAAATTTATTATTATAGTACTGCATTGTATTATTGTAAATTTTTATTAAAAGTAATTATTATTGACACTTCATTTTTAAGAAATATTTAATAATATTTAATAATAATATGTTAAAAATAATAAAACACCCTTATATTCAAAATTTTATTAACTACATTTAATGATATTTTTCATATTGTTATTATTAATTATTATTATTACAATTATCAATAATTAAAACAAAATAAAATATTTGTAATATGTAAGTATCGGAAATTGTTTAATATCTTTCATATAATTATCATGTATAATACTTATACATGATAATTATATGAAAGATATTAAACAATTTCCATATTAACATATATTTCCATTAACATATACTTAAGCTATACATTCCAGCAAACAAGCTGACATTATTTTGATATCAAAATGACATTACCCTATAAGCGCAAAATGTTTTTAGAATGTTACATGAATATTATTAAAAAATTAAAATAATGTTATTATAATATTTCGAAAATATCATAAATATTTTTTTAATATTACAGGAGTATT